TGATGGAAATTCAGCTTTGCATCACAGAAATAAATTATATTTTAAAGGATATTAAAATAGAAACCATTATTTTATATTGTAATAACATTTTACAAGATTACTGTATTTTTTCTGTATTTTTGATCAAATAAATGCAGCCTTGATGAGCAGAAGAGACTTCTTTAAAAAATATTACAAGTCTTACTGATCCCAAACTTTTGACTGGTAGTGTGTGTATATACAGTATATATATATATGCAAATTTCAACTGCTTGATTGCTTGTATCATCGCAAAATGTAAACTATATTAATGTCAAGCTCTAATCTGCTAAATGAGATTAAGACATGACGATATTAAGATATTTTAAACATTGATTTTCTGTAAAGCTACTTTGAATCCTACAATTGATTCCAGGTAGAAAAACAAATCTGGCTCTATAATTTCAGTAGTGTATGATTGTGACGTACGCTGAAGTGCCAGAGAGTGAGCGCCGTGATCACCATTGCTGTGGTCGTCCGTCCTTTACCATTAGAGCAGTTAAAGACGAACGCAGAGAGCGAGTCTTCAGCGAGACAAGACTTCATCGCCTCCAGCAGCCTGTCCAAACCCTGAACACACACACAGAGAGAGAGAGAGACAAACACACACACACAGACAAACATACACACACAAAGAGAGAGACAAACACACACACACACACACACACACACAGAGAGAGAGAGAGAGACACAAACACATTATCAATGTGACCGAATGAAAGACTGTGATAAATCACTTTCACAAACACATTCATACGACTCTGTAAAGCACACAAAAGAAAGATAATGAAACTGTCAGACTGAACCCAATAAAACCAGGTTTACATTCTGAAGTCTATTTCAGCGATAGTTTACCCATAAATGACACTGCTGTCTTATTTAACCCCGATCATGCCATTCTTTATGACTTGAACACAGAGAGAAATTTGGAGCTTTTTGGGTTTGCTTTTTATGAGACACACGAGAACCATTGAAGTCAAGGTGCCATGCTTTTTTATCTACATCTTATTATTTTTATCTTATTTAATCACATTTGAATCTTTATTGATTGCCTTCAGAAGACTTTGCATGTGTGATACAGACCACTTGAAGGTGCTTTTTTTTTTTGTCAATTTTGGAGCTTGATAATCATGGTTTCTTTAAAAAAAAACTAAAGTAAAATAAAAAAATAAATAAAATAATTATAATAATAACAGAATAATATTAAAATAAATAAATAAAAATTAATAAATACTAAATTAAAATAAAAAAATAAACCTAAAATAAATAAAATAAAATAACCTGAGGGTTAGTTAATCACATATTTCTGGGTCAAAAATAAAATAGAATAGAATAGAATAGAATTTCTGGGTGAAATATTTCTGTAAAATCAAAACTAACAGTGACTCTGAAGAACACTAGAGTGAGCAGAAGGTCTTTTCTTTGTCTTGTCATTAGCCTTCATCATTGCATCTGAACGGGAAGATCTTTTACAGGTCTGTTAAAGCGTGTTTCACCTCTTCAGTCGGAGCAGAGCATTCTGGGAAGGGTATCCGTCTGTACTGCAGTCCCTGGTGTGAACTCTTGTGCTGGTTAAAGATCTCCTGCACCGTCAAACAGCTCTTGAACATCTTCATCTGCTTCTCCTGCTCCAGAGTCACTTCAATCCATTTCTGACTTCCCACAAGTTCCTCTTTCAGAGCTGTTTCCAGTCTCTATGTCACACACACACACACACACACGCACACACACATTCACACTCACACACGCACACACACATTCACACTCTCTCACACACACGCACACACACGTGCACACATGTACACACACATACACACTCACGCACACACACACACACTCTCTCACACACACGCACAAGCGCACACACACACACACACGCACACAGAGATACAGATGCTGTTCAATGTGTAGAGCAAGGGTTCACAAACTGATGAAAAACTAATAAATAATTATATATGAATAAAAAAAAAAGAATTTGCTCACGCAAATCTCATCACACTTCGAGCGTGTTGGTGAACGCGTGCGGAGTATACAGTGATTCGTGCGATGCTCAAGAACTGTGCTTCAGTCATATTGTGCTGATAAACTGCTCCATTCAGTTCGTACGTGAAGTTAGCGCTTATAAAAGGTTAAACTTCAAAAATCGACATTTTTCACTTTTTTGCCTGTAGCTCAAAACTAGCCCGTGTGCATTCACACTCATTTTGCCAGCATATAACAACAAGTTGTTATATCACATATAACAACAAGCAAAAGCAGACTCTGACCTCGATCTCGATCTGGTGCGTCTGTGAGGAGAGCACACATATGTGCTGGTCCACACGCGTGGGCTCTCTGGGACAGAAGATCTGGCCGTTGGCCTCCAGAACCAGCTCATCCTGCAAATTTACCCACAATACACTGCTGTGCTTCCTCTTCTCATCCGTCAGATACTCCAGAACGGCTCCCGTCGCCTGAAACATGAGCGACGCTGTCGGTGAGCATTAACAATTAACAGAGTCAGTCTGAAGAAGCTTTTGGGAAGAGTTACCTCAGATGTCGGCTGTGCCATCCCATAGATTGACATTTTGGGCACTCGTCTGAAATTAGCCACTTTCATCTGCTTAATGGTGCTCAGAACGTCAGGCGCTAAATATTCATCTGCAACCTAGAAATACAACACACCTCTTCAGAAACGATCCATCATCCTTATTGGTTTAGTGAAGGTTTACAGAGAAATGTGTCATCTTAAGATAATGTGTAACTGCTGTCAAAATAATTCCCCAGTTTAATATTCAGAGACTACGAAGAGGGTACAAATTATTAATTTTGGATTATTGTTACGATAGGTTATTTTTATTATTATTTTTTAATTTTTTTCTAACTTTGTAAAACGACCTTGGGTTTTAGAAAAGAGCTACTAAAATAAATAGATAAATAAAATTAAAAAACAAAATAAAAATGGTTGTTGTTGTTATTATTATTATTTTAGATTTTTAGTTTAGCTCCTTTCTATAACAACAACAACAACAACAATATATATATATATATATAATTATTATTTACATTTTTGCACAATTATATTGGCTCCATTTGTCGAGCATGAACATTCAACCCTGTTACTAAAGCAATATATAGAAAAATGAAGTTAAAAGGGTTTTAAACAGTATTCAAAACATCTCAAACTGTAGGAACAATTGCAAACCTCAAAAAATAAATGAAGTAAAAATATGTAAAATTTTTAGTTATTAGATATTTGAGGTGGACACACAACATTTTTTGAAAGTAAAGCCCCTCCAGAAAATAGTTTGTTGAAAATAAACAATAATTTGATTTGTTATACTAGCAAGCAATTAAGGCTATTTCGGCAAAAAACAAAACAAAAACAAAAAACAGGTTACAATACAGCAAAATATGAAAATAAATTATAAATCTAAAAAAAAAATTTGCATTAAAAATAATTTCACATGAATCAATAGAATTTACAAAAAGAGTCCTAGAGGAGTTGAAACACTCACAGTCTATTAAAACACCCATCAAAGTTATTTTATACGATCAAGGTCTGTATTGAAGCCTGTTTGTAAAAGAATGCCACTCAAGACATTCGTAGTTCGACTTCCTCAGTTCAGTCAATTCAGCACTAAAGAACGTGTTCAAGGCTGCTGCTTAGAAAGAAAAGCCAAGCCACAGCGTCACACTTTTACAACAGTCACACTTTCCTTGGATACTGTTGCCAAGTGAGAAAGTGCAGCGCAAATCTACATTAATCTCAATAGTGAAACACTTCCACAATCAGGAGAGAAAGTAGAGCGAGTCTGTTGAGATCATCAGGATTTCTTCATGCTGCTCTTTACAATATAATGCAAGTGAATGAAGACTAGGCTGTCAGGAAAAGTATATTCAGGTCAGTATGTGTGAGGAGCAGACCAAAAGTGCTATTTCAGTCATGATTATTCACTGACTCTGACTTTGTTTACATGCACAACAAATTCTGTTTAAGCTTTATATTAGGGTTGCAACCATATAATGTTTATATGTGTACAGGCATCAGAATATTCCTGCATGCATGGTTGATTTTAGCATGGCGATCTACACACGTGCATTTCCGTTCCCAGTCTTATTTATCAAGAGGGTTATGATGCTGCCAAACATTATGCTCAGTTATTAGTTTTATTAATTTAATTAAGAATGACACTTCACACTTTCAAGAATACCTGACAACAACAGCACAAAATGGGAAAAAAAAAACATTGTTATTATTAATAATAATAATAATAATGAGTTAATATCAATTTATTTTAATAATTTACTTTTTTTTTAATCTGTTTTGCTGTTACTCCAGAAATGCATTTAAGTTTCTTAATTATTTACCTTGCAAGTTAAAATGTTTTAATCAATTTGTCCTGCAGACAGAAAAATACAGTGAAACTTTATTTGGAATAGGCAGATGTTTCTATTTTTTAAATAATATTAATAAAAATATTATTAATTTAATAAGCATTCTTTTATATCTACAGTGTATTTATTATTATTATTATTATTATTATTAATAATGGCCTGACTCTTTCCATTTTGTGCCATTGTTGTCTGGCATTTTTGAATGTGATAATATTAGTCCTATTTAAATTATTGTGAAACGTAGTAATAAATTTAATAACGGAGCAAACAGCAGCATTTTAAATCTACCAAGACATAACACTGAAAGGAAACATACATGTGTAGATCACCATAATCTACTAATCTAGTCAAGGAATATTCTGATGCCTGTATGCATATAAACATCATATAAACTACTCGATTATACCGAGCTTAAATGAAATCTGATGTGCATGTAAATGTAGTCTGTGACTTCAGAAGATTTGAAATATAGCACACGAGTTAGACTGGAGTTGTAAAACGTTTATGATAGCTTTATACTTTTTTCATTTTGATACTTCGTTTCATTTTGAGTTGACAGTGCTGTTTGTTCCGTTTAAATTCAGTTCATTTGAAACTTTGTATCACTGTGAATGTAACAGAATTTGGAATGTTGCATCAATTGTAACATTCCATTTCTCTTGAACTAAATCTTCTAAAAAAATCTTCTTTGCCTAAAATGTTGTTATGATAATTGGTGTCCTTAATATATTCCAAGCAATGTCAGATGGGTAATGATGTTGATGTTTCTCACCAGAACTCGAGCTCCTTTCGTGAGCAGGTCAGCTGGTGCTCTGAGCTCTGATTGGTTCATGCAGGAGAGGAGGCGGTACATCCAGGCGTTAGAGCACAGCCATTGGCTGAAACTAGAGGCGAACGCCAGCGGATACTAGAACAGAGAGGAACAACATAATAAATATGACTAGCAAATGAATAGTGACTCTTAAAAGAGTGGCTTGAAAACACACTGTACCTGTTCATGCAGGTAAGCATTAAAGACGATCAGGTAGAAATATCGCTCTAGACTCTGTAGAGTTCGATGGAGGAAGTAATCTTTAGTGCTGCTTCCCTGAAAACACACACACACACACAGAGACAACAGAAAATACACTTTATTTACAATCTGTCCAGCTGTGGGCCGTAAATCTGGTTCTGCACACAAGTGATCCACAAGCAAAACTAGATAGAATAAGATTCGTCTTCGTCAGCCTCCATTGATTTCACGTGCGAAGGGGTGTTTGCATACACTACTGGTCAGAAGTTTAGAATAATTAAGATGGAATGTTTCTGCTCACCGAGGTTGCATTTATTTGATCAAACATAATAAAAATTGTGAAATATTTTTAACATTCAAAATAGCTGTTTTGTATGCGAGTATCTGTTAAAGTGTAATTTATTCCTGTGATCAAAGCTGAATTTTCAGCATCATTACTACAGTCTTCAGTGTCAAATGATCCTTCAGAAATCATACTAAAACATGAAAAAAAAATCTAAAAAAAAAACAAACACTTTGACCAGTTGTGTAAAAAGCAGCACAAAACTGCTTATTTAATTCTAGCGACAGTGAAAAATGAAACACATTCACCTTGACTAATATCATATGCAGATGCTCACCTGGATCTGATAGTCTTCACCGATTCCCTCCAGTTTTTGTTTGTTCTCATAAATGGCCTCTCGGATGTCGTGCATCTCAGAGCACAGATCGATGGCTCGGTCCACCTGAAACACAGCAGGACGCGGTCAACAGCTCATCTGGGATCTTTCAGTGTTTATATAGAAATATTAGATTGAACAACATTCAAATACAAACCTCTTCCATGGCCTCTTGACCTTTAGGCAGCTTACTGATGAGGGTCTGAATAACCTGGAACTGAATTTTGGGTTTGTCTGTTGCATCCTCTTCAGCTCTATAAACATGTGACAACATTCACATTAAATGCAAAATTACACTTTAACTGTATACATAAAAAAAACCTTGCTATGTGTACTGCGTTATTCAGGCTAACCGAGACTTGTCATAGCACTTGCTTATTATTGCTCTTTTGTTAGTTTTGATTGCTTCTATTGTCATCATTTGTAAGTCGCTTTGGGTAAAAGCGTCTGTTAAATGACTAAATGTAAATGCACATAATATACACAAATACACATCTTTATTAAACATTCTTAAGCATGCAAAAAAATGTTAATGAATATACAAAAAGTTTCTGGTCAGTAAGATTTTTAAAAAATAAAGTATTACTTTTATTCATCAAGGATGCATTAATTTAATCAAAAGCGTCAGTAAAGACATTTATAATGTTACAAAAGATTCTATTTCAAATAAATGCTGTTCTTTTGAACTTTCTATTCATCTGTGAATCCTGAAAAATAAAATGTATCACGGTTTCCACACAAATATAATGTTTTCAACATTGATAATAATCAGAAATGTTTCTTGAGCAGCAAATCAGCATATTAGAATGATTTCTGAAGATCATGTGACACTGAAGACTGGAGTAATGATGCTGAAAATACAGCTGTGCATCACAGCAATAAATTACAGTTTAACAGATATTCACATAGAAAACAGTTATTTTAAAT